ATTATGATTCCTGATGTCAGATTTGTGTCCATTAATTCTTTTGCTTAGAGACTGTCCGGTTTGGCCAATGTACACGGCAGAGGGGCATTGCTGGCACATGATGGCATATATCACATTGGTAGATGTGCAGTTGAATGAGTCTCTGATAGTGTGGCTGATGTAATTAGGTCCTATGATGGTGTCCTTTGAATAGATATGTGGACAGAGTTGGCAACCGGCTTTGTTGCAAGGATAGGTTCCTGGGTTAGTGTTTTTGTTGTCTGGTTTCTGGTGAGTATTTGCTTCAGGTGGGGGGGCTGTTTGTAAGTGAGGACTGGCCTGTCTCCCAAGATCTGTGAGAGTGAGGGATCATTTTTCAGGATAGGTTGTAGATCCTTGATGATGCGCTGGAGAGGTTTTAGTTGGAGGCTGAAGGTGACGGTTAGTGGCATTCTGTTACTTTCTTTGTTGGGCCTGTCCTGTAGTAGGTGACTTCTGGGTACCCTTCTGTCTCTGTCAGTCTGTTTCTTCATTTCAGCAGGTGGGTGTTGTAGTTGAAAGAATGCTTGATAGAGATCTTGTAACTGTTTGTCTGAGGGGTTGGAGCAAATTCAGATCTATCTTAGAGCTTGGCTGTAGACAATGGATTGTGTGGTGTGGTCTGGATGAAAGCTGGAGGCATGTAGGTAAGTATAGCGGTCAGTAGGTTTCCGGTATCGGGTGGTGTTTATGTGACCATCGCTTATTAGCACTGTAGTGTCCAGGAAGTGGATCTCTTGTGTGGACTGGTCCAAGCTGAGGTTGATGGTGGGATAGAAATTGTTGAAATCATGGTGGAATTCCTCAAGGGCATCTTTTCCATGGGTCCAGATGATAAAGATGTCATCAATGTAGCTCAAGCAGACAAAAACTGAGGAAGCATTGTTCTAAGTCAGCCATAAAAATGTTGGCATACTGTGGGGCCATGTGGGTACCCATAGCAGTGCCGCTGACTTGAAGGTATACATTGTCCCCAAATGTGAAATAGTTGCGCGTGAGGACAAAGTCACAAAATTCAGCCACCAGCTTTGCCGTGACATTATTGGGGATACTGTTCATGACAGCTTGTAGTTCATCTTTGTGTGGCGTGTTGGTGTAGAGAACTTCTACATCCATAATGGCCAGAATGGTGTTTTCTGGAAGATCACCAATGGATTGTAGTTTCGTCAGAAGTCAGTGGTGTCTCGAAGACGGCTGGGAGTGCTAGTAACGTAGGGCCTGAGGAGAGAGTCTACATAGCCAGACAATCCTGCTGTCAGGGTGCCAATGCCTGAGACGATGGGGCGTCCAGGATTTCCAGGTTTATGGATCTTGGGTAGCAGATAGAATACCCCTGGTCGGAGTTGTAGGGGTCTCTGTACAGATTTGATCGTGTGCTTTTTCAGGGAGTTTCTTGAGCAGATGGTGTAGTTTCTTTTGGTAACCCTCAGTGGGATCAGAGGGTAACCGCCTGTAGAATGTAGTGTTAGAGAGCTGCCTAGCAACCTCTTGTTCATATTCCGACCTATTCATGATGATTGACTACTTGCAGCCCCACCCAGAATCCCACTAGTCACAGGGAAAAATAAACAAAACATTAAATCTCTGGGAGGGCTGGAGAAGCAGAATCCCCCCCGCACCCTGCTCAGAGCAGCCAGGAGGCTTCAGGGGGTGGGGAGAAGGTGAGAGCTCCTTATCCCCCCCCAGCACACGGAGCATGGCAGGGTCTTCCCATTTCCCACACGCCTGCCAGCCACAGGCTGATACGGGAAGCAGAGCTCTGAGCCGGGCACATGGACAGGAACCTCAACAGCTTCCCTTCGTGTTTCACGGCAGCCTTTGGCCAATGGGGTGTTCCCTGGGACAGAAATGGGGGAATGTCGCCCCCTCCCATTGCCGCCAATGGGCCTGTTCATAAAATCAGGCCCAGGTTGATCATGTTCTAGCAGGTTTATCACACACTGTCCCCTCCCTGCCTCACACTGTATGTTTCCTGCCCCTCCCCCTCTACAACAAATCCTCCCCACAGCTCTCTGCAAATCCCCTACCTGAGCTGGCTCCATCACAGCCATTTCCCTTCCCTGTCCCCTGGAAGACGGGACCATCTGGAGCGAAACGTGGATGCGAGTCCTCAGTCTGTCGGGGTGAGAGGGGCTATGTGGGAGGTTACAGAAGGGGCTCAAGTCCATTTCACACCCCGATTCTACCCCCCCCCAAGACTCTGAAATTGCTTTGCCCCAGGACCCCTGAATCTCTCTCCCTACAGAGGGGCTCTGGGCTCTGCCACTGGGAAAACCCTCAGTCACTTTATCACAACATAGTTCTGGCCCTTCCCCGTAGCACTGAACGCACTGTGACACCAGTAGGTCCCTGAAAGGGGCTCTTTGTGCAGAGTCATTTCCCTCCCCGGCTCCAACCCTTTCCCCAGATCTCGCTGTTGAGTGTGTTTTGTGATAGTGTTACAGTCTGTTAAAATATGTATATATTAAATCCAATATGTAGTTTGGAAATATATAGCAGCAATCCAAGATGGAGTTTGAACTGCCATCTTGTGACCTCCATCTTGTTGTCTACTGTTATCATGGCCCAGTCATGACTGGATCCAACTCTTTTTTCCCATCACTGGCAGCTCCAAGGACAATCTTACCTCAGACTGTTTCCCACCTTTGTTGGGACTGTACCATATTCTCCCATCACTAAAGGGACTGAACTCATTGACAAGTGGCACAGTCCATCCCAGTGACGGTGCGTGCGTGGTTCAGCCTTCACAGCTCCAGTGCATCATTGAAGGGCATCACCGTTCCTGAAGTGAAGACGACATTCCACCTCACCTACTCCTGGATACAACATCATCAGAGGGTTCTCAGTCTGCTTCTTCCGCCCTGAGACATCAAGGGACTCTCCAGTACTCCTCCTCTGCGGGTTCCAATTACCCAACGAGTGCAGGTCCTGGACTTCACCACCGCCGCCGATGTGCTGACAACACAGTGAGATAAATAGGGTTTTTTCAGTTGGGGTTTATAGTTATATGGAGATATACCTATCTCATAGAACTGGAAGGGACCTTGAAAGGTCATTGAGTCTAGCCCCCTGCCTTTACTAGCAGGACCAAGTACAGATTTTGCCCTAGATGGCCCCCTCAAGGATTGAGCTCATAACCCTTGGTTTAGCAGGCTAATGCTCAAATCACTGAGCTATCCTAGGGTGAGTTGTATTTTGGACCGGAGCTTCATGTTCCTGTTTTAAAAGCTGCTGTTTCACTGTTTGTCTTGTTATTTAGCTACTGTTCTTTCATACTTACCCCTTCCCTATCTGGTATTCATTCCCTTCATACACTTACCTGTTGTTTTCATCTTTACCTATTGTCAGTTTTTATTATTTGCACTACACATAGGGAAGAGGGAGGGAGATCCATACACCAGTCCACTGGTGATAGACACGACAGAGGTGGGTCTGCTCTTCTGAGTAAAAGGGGCTTGCTTTTACAGCTCAATACCTGCACCACTATACATCTAGAGTTACCTTGGCTCCCCTTTGAGGTAACATCTCCATCACCTGGAGGCTCAGGCTCAGGGGCTGGTATGGTTAGAGTGGTTCGAACCACTGGAGAACGTGCCCCTGGGGCTGGTCTCAGAGGAGTGTGATGAAGCGGGAATGTTCTGAATGTTTTCTCTGAATACCGAGTATGTGCCTCAGTCTCCCCATGTGTTACTCAAGTATCAAGCTGGTGGGATACAGGTGTGTGATCATTGCAGAGACCTCTAGAGGGAAGGTGTCACTGAAGAGTGGCTCCCTGGGCATAGAGAAAGGTCAAAATTCAGTATCCTGGCAAGCCATGGCCGGAGCCGGTCCTCTGCAAGGAGCCAGGCGAAGGTGCTGGAGAACAGCGAGATGGGGGAGGCCACGAGACCTGTTTTCCAGGGGGAAAGGGAAAGCACGGAGGGGGGGCAGCGGACATCACTGAGGACTATGCTGTGTTCCCAGCAACCAATAAACCCTTCTGTTTTCCAAGCTGGCTGAGAGTAACAGCTGACTGTGGAGGTGGGGTGCACAGCCCCTGTGAGGAGCAGGTCAGGCTTCTCCATAGGCTGCCCCCGGGGTTCAGGCTGGGGCCAGACGCTCAGGAGGTGGGGGGAAGTTGGGGGTGTTCAGGGGCTGGAGTCCTGCCCCTACAGTGGGGGAGGCAAGCCTCCCCCATCCCTAGATTCACCCCCCGCTGGCTGTATCCCATTCTTATCCCCGGCTCCTAGTCCCAGGCAGGGGGGCTGAAACAATCTTAATAGTGGATCTGCTGAGATACAGTGAACCAAACTGTAAACCACGGATAGGATGGAAACCCCTTCAAGCAAGGGGGTGCAGCAGGGCCCCACCAGCCTAGATCCAGCAATTGTGCTGCCCCCAGCCATGATTAGGTCCCTGGGCCCCTCTCCTTCCTGGCCCCCAGCTGGGCCCCCCACCCAACATTCTGTTTGGCCCCGGCCCATCTTATGCCCCCCCCATTTGTCCCCCTCAGATTTCACTGAGCTGCAGCCTCCATCCACACCAGAGTGGCCTGGGGCAGGGAAACAAAAAGCAGTAGAAGGGGGTGGGGAGGATGGGCGGTAACATGATCCTGCCCTGACCCTGCACACACCGGGAACTGGCGGCAGCTTTCCCGGGACCAGGGCGGGAATCGCAGCCAACTCTGCTGGGAACAGCCTGGGGCCAAACCTCCCCCTGCAGCCCGGGGGTGACGGGGGCGGGTCTCTCTCACCTTCCCTCCGAGCGGGGCCCCCCTGGGGCAGGGGCCGGGCCGGGAAGGGGCCTGGCCGGGCTGGGGGCTC